AACCCCTCTTTAAAATTGTCTTACTATTATTTCCCATTAAAATGTCTTTAAATAAAACCGAGAGCCTTGGGTGTAAAATAATCTGATTAATGTTGCAATGTTGGATACATTTTTGTACATATTTGTATGCAATACGGTATGCTGTTTTAATTTGGTTTCTCTCAAAGCTTAAAAATCTTTTCTCTGTGATAGCTAAATAGTTGATATAACCATGAAATTTAACTCAAGTAAAATTAGACTAAAATTTCACAGAAATTGATAACTTATAATTAATTCTAATAGGGCGATTGTACATACATTATAAAATTCAATTTCACTCTTTTGTACTACGCCACATTTATTGATTGTAATTTATATCTAATAAGAATTATCATTTTAGCACTCATAGATATATTTTTATCTTAAATTGCAAACGTGAGCCAATTCGCACTTGCAAAAAGAACCTAATAATTCATTTTTTTTAAATGATGTGAGTAATGAAATAACTCTCTTTCCAAAAATACTAGTCTACTTCAAATAATACGGGTGTAGAGAGGTTGTTAGAAAATGGCAAGTATTTACCAGTGTAATTTACAAGAGTAAAACTTTATGAAACACATTGCTGTCTACACTAGTAAAAACCACTAGTAATACTAGTCCCTACACTAGTAACTAGTATTTTACACTAGTAGGTTTTTAAAACGTAGACTTGTAAAGTACACTAGTATTACTAGTCCATGGACTAGTAAATACTAGACTATAGTAGTTTTATGAAACAGGGCCCAGATGTTCTACCCAGAGGGGGAAAACAGTTAAGACAGATAGATTTGCCATTTTCACCTTCATTTGGTAAAATTTTTTTGGTTGTTTTTTCTCTCTTTCTAATAATTGTATGACTGTCTCTAGTGTCCTTATAGTTTCTACCATTTTTGTTGCCTCTAGTTTGTAGACATCACACCTGTTACATTTATTATGATGTGCTGCTGACTCTTTCATACCAGGATTGGCTCTCATGTTCTCTTCATAGTGTAAAAGTAGCAAGCTCTTCGCCTCTTTTTCCTTTTTGAGTTGTTGTTCCAAATGTCTTACTTGTTTTGAAAGTTTGTTTTCATTATCTTCAATTTGTTTTTTCAGGGAATCAATAATCTCTTCATTTTCTTTAACTCGATCTTCCAACTCCAAAACATAAAAAGAGCTTTTGTTTTTTGCTTCATACAGCTCTTTTCTCGGTTCTTCATTTTCATTTAAAATATATGTGTTAATTTCTTCTGCAATTGAGGAACAATTGAGCTCACTTGTACTTTCACTAGCATCGATCACACTTAATACAGATGTTGCAGTTTTGTTATTATAACTGGTTTTTTTATGAATACTCATAAGGTTAACATGGGGAACTATAGAGCCACTGGGGCGGGGCCCAAAAGGGTTTTTGAGATAAGAATATGCCTAAATGTTAATCGGGAATGTGAGCTATCATCATGCCAAATTTAAGCCCAATCCGTCCGGTAGTTTATGCATGATTGAGCAACACACAAACTCACAAACTTTCGGATTTATAATATAAGTAAGCTATATATCGATGGTTATATGCACAAACATTGTATGTCCAATTTTTTTCACTTTTGACATTTTTATATATTTGGAAAGCTGTAGTCTTCATCTTTCAGATCACACATATTGTATGTCCATATTACAATAGGAAAAATTAATATAAATTCTCAAAATAAAAGTGTTCACTTTGGTATGATATAATTTTATCCTGCACACTTGTAGCATGTCCAATGATTGCAGTACCAGCTGAACAGAGAAAAACTCCTTTAGAGCACAGATATAGTATCTTTGGACTTGCAATGATTGTGCATGAAAATACAAGGCCTACTATCTCTGGTATTTGTTTTTTATCTTGTAGTATGTCCAAAAATCTGATGATCTCAAGTGCACTCTTATAGTATGTCCACATTTTATTTTACAATTAGGTTAGGTTTAGGACATACAGCATCTGTGCACAACAGAACATAACACCAAAAAAGAATCCGTGAATTGGCTAAAGGTAAAGTGGTTTGGGTTTTAAAAAGCAAACCCTTTTGAAATTCTATACAAGTACGAACTTAACAAGGAAATAGAGTTTTTGACTCTTGATGTACGAATGGATTCCGAGACGCCATTTGTCTGGGAACAACAACTTCTCAGTCCAAAGTACACCGAGCCTATTCCGGTTTCCAGCGCCAAGAAAAAGGATTTGATGTACCTACTTAAAGCGGGGTAATCCCAGAAGCATTCACGCATTTTGTCTCTGAAATCCCTAGTTCCGCATCGGTAAGAGATATTGTACTTTACGTCATAGAGGAAGAAGAAGGAAACAAGTCTCTCACTGAAGTTACCAAAAAGAAAGAAGAAAGAGACGCAGTAGAAGAGATGTTATAGGGCAAGAAACCAGAAAAAGAAGTAATGTAAAGAGAGTTTAAGAAAACCAAGGAGGCTAAAAAAAACCAGAGAAAATAAAAGAAATTAAAACTTCATAAGAAAATAAAGTAATGTGTCTAAAGGACAGCACTGTTGAATAAACCCCATAAAGACTGACTCAACAAAATACAGTGTGTACTGTATAGGTACCATTTTACAAAAGGCACTACCTGATTTATTTCGTGCTTTGTTTAATGTTTCGTTTAGGCATATTTGTGTTTAAGTTTCGAATAGCTGGTAGGCCAAGTAATTTTTATTTTTAAAATGTTAAAAATAAAAGTAGTCTACAATGTAAGACAATAACAGTCATGGGCGTCCGCAGAATTTGGAACAGGGGCAACCCCAATATATAGGTCTAACGAACCTCCAGGGGTTGGGAGCCTTCCCCGGGAAAAAATCTGAAAATATAGTGTTATAAAACATATTTTTACGCTATTTTGTAATACATAAAACCAACCAAAACAAAATAGTACATTGTGCATCAAGGACAGTCACCTGAGGGAGTCGTCGTTTTTTATGCCAACATTAACAATTAACCAAACAATTATAAAGAAAAATAATTATAGTTGAATAAAGCCTAGATAACAGCCAAGAAAGTTTATGTTTTGTTTTCTGAATACTTTTGTTAAAGTATGAAAGTATACAAAGTATAAAAGATTTTTACATCTGTGAGTCAACTACTTATTTGATTTAAACATCAATTTAAAACATTTTTTAGACATGACCATTTTGAACATACTTTTATAAATTCCTTAAAACCCCAGTGATCACAGAACATTATGTGTATTAAATTTATTTCTATTTTTTTAGCCAGGGGGCGCCCATGATAACAGTTGTTTAAATTTTTCATTCCTTACTAAAACCAATCTAGGGGCAGTTTTTGTATTGCACACTCGTAGCATGTCCATAAATCTGCGCGTTCAGAAGTGCACACATATAGTATGTCCAACATGGTTTGATTTACAAATTATTTGTAAAAATGTGGCTTGAATAAAGATAAAACTATTTATGTAGATGCATTTTTAATAAATGGGGCCAATAAAATTTATTTATTTCAAACATTTAACAGTTTTAGTTTAAGTTTCCCCCATAATACAAACTTTGTTTTTGCGGTTTCCGAAAGTTTACCAAAATGGACATACAACTATTGTGCTTATAACCATCGATATATATATATATATGTATAAATATATATATATAAATATATATATATATATATGAATTTGAACGGATGGTGTTTTTGGCCTCTTGGGACCTCAAAACAAACAAAAAAAATCGGTCCCGCGTCCAGGTCTTACCATGAGTACTACGGTAATAGCTTATTCCCTATATAGGAAATTCGCTACAAAACATCAATATAAAAAAATATATTATTAGGCCTAACTTATTAAAATAAAAGTACCTGTCTGGCATTGGAAACGTGGAGATATCAGTTAGTATATAGTTCAACTTAAAAAATACTAAATTTTATAAGTCTAAAACAACAGTCCTACTAGTAAAGTATCAAGTAACAATATTTCAGTCTTGTGTTATTTTTAGATTGATTTGGACTGACTTATTTTGGCTATGTTTACAGTAGTTAAACATGTCTTACACTGCTTACACTAACAAAACTTCTCATAATTTGCTATGTCAAAACAAACACAAAATTATAAAACAATTAAAGCAATATTTACATCTAAAGAATTAATAATTAAATAAAAACGCCTTCGCAAAGGTAACGCAACATAAACACGCTCCTGTATTACGGGTATTGCATTGACTTTCTGCAGGCGTTTTTTTATCTCGTCTCAAAAAAAATCCCGACCAAAATAGAATCTTGTCTCAACGAGATTTAAAATTTCCCGAAATTTCGAGATCCGTTCATCCCTAGTCACGGACTTATTAGATGATATTTTTTAGCTGAACCACAACAGTGATCATAAATGGTGTTACTAAGGCTTTACTGACAAACTGGTTTTTTCCTAAAAAGGCTATATTATAATAACCTTATCAAACTAAATCAAGTTTAAATTCAACTTATTACACTGTAAACTAGATGTCTTTCGATTTTATGAGATTTTGGTTTTTAAATACCGTAATTCTATCAGAACATTACAATTTACAAGAAAACTTACACCAAATTAAAAATTACAACAAAAACACAGTTTTTTTTATTTTTACCTACTGCAAATACCAAGACTTTTCTTTGTTATATATTTGTTAGAGTCTTATTATTCCAAATTAGCATGATTAATAAAATATTGAATACAATACAGTTACAATTCAACAACAGGTAATGGAGTTAAAAGGCAAACAATAACTCTTACAAAATAAGAATTCTTGGCCTAGCAATCAAAGGGTTAAACAAATTGTTTCTTAGAATTCTTCACAATTTCTAATGCAATAGACGAATAGCCGTAGCCCTTTTGCCTTCTTAGATACCTTTCAGCTTTAATTCCTCTCAGGAAATCAAACATATTTCAACTTTAAATTTAATTCTACTACCATATCTTTATATGATTTAAACTTCATGTCATAACAGTAATAAATTTAACTTTTAATAATGTACTGTGTAGGATCTGATAGATGCATTGAAGAGTGAGCTTGGTGGTAACTTTGAAGATGCAATTGTGGCATTGATGACTCCTCTGCCAGAGTTCTACGCCAAGGAGCTGCATGATGCCGTGGCAGGTGTCGGCACTGACGAGGAAGCTCTGGTCGAAATCCTTGGAACTTTGAGCAACTACGGCATCAAGGTTATATCCCAAACGTACAAGAAACGTAAGTACAAACATAGTTTTGTTACACCTTCTCTTAACCGACCCTTTAGGTGAGAAAACGGTAATTATTGTGATTAATGTGACCATGGGAACCTATATATATTTATATCTCACCAGAAACTAGATTTTTAGCTGAAAATAATAGTGACAAAATTTCTTCACCCTCACAAATATTAACGGAACTAGCCTATGGCCGTTTAAATTGTAGTTTACGCTTGTAAATCTACTGAATAATTTATGTAATGTTTCCTCACTAAAAACTTGATATAGTTATAAATTATAAATTTTCTGTTGATTGTAAAATATTTTAAGTGAATACCAGGCCCACACTAATAGTTAATTGGTTAATTAAAGTGTACACTATTTTATAAACATATTAATAGTTTGGGAAAAAACAACAAAACTGCGTTCTAGATTCTAGACAACTAAACTGAATGTTACTGAAGGTGGCCATGATGGATTTGGATATCCATCCAGTTTCTTTGTAGTTGTTTTTTTTTATGTGTAGTCCATGCTATACATGCTTAGTTTGGCTTAAGCTTTTTACGATATATCCTTAAAATACTCTTAACTCTTTCAAAATTAAGATAACTTATAAGGTTATCATAAAATGAAATTGTTCAAAACTAACATAACCTAACCAAACTTGCTGTAAAACCTAAAGATTGCGTTTGATGACAGAAAAGGCATTTGTTGAAGGCAAGTAGAACTTTATTCTGATTCGTGAGTCCTTGGAGCCTAGACGTTCTAACTCATAAAACAATTAAAAACTGCAAAGACAAATTCTAATCTCACAGTATACTAAATATTTAAACTACAATCACTTTGGTATTTGAAAAAATATTTTGAGGTGGTAAATAACTCTTCAGTGGCTGTTTGAAAATAACAAAATTAACATTGCTCTTATGGTAGGCGAATCCAAGATGGCCATTGGCTTCCATGGCTTCCCTTGTAAATACATTCAAAACATCAAACAACACTTCTAATCTCACAGTATACTAGATATTCACATTATAATCACTTCTGTGTTTAAAAACTATTTTTGGATGATAATTAACTCTTCAGCAGCTGCTTGAAATTATCCAAGATGGCCGCTAGCCTCCAAGGACTCTTTGAAGGTAGGTTAGACTAGGTAAGTTAAAGTATAGGTTATAGTGAACCGAGTTGATAATTTATATTACACACAGGCTGTTTTAGCGAAATTCCCATGTAGGGAATAAGCTATTACTGTATGTCTCATGGTAGGACCTAGACCGGGGACCGATTTAATTTTTCGTTTTCACGTCCCAGAGGCCAAAAACACCATATATGATAGCCTATAGAAGTGATATAGAGGCCTATGTGTCCGTTAGCGCGATAACTCAGGCAAAATGATCCGATTTTGATGAAATTTTGTACAAACATGTAAACCTACGTTTATTCTAACGAGTTCGCGAACCAGCATAATCAGACTATGGGAACGGGGGTTTATGGAGGGTTTTATGGGGTAAAAATTTATTTTTCCCATTTTTTACCCTAAAAACACAAAATTCATAATTTACCTCTAAATTCTTTTGTAGAGCTTAAAAAATAAATAATTTTGTACATTGAAGCAATGTTGTATGCCCAACAGTACGAAGATAATAAGAAAAAAAATTAAATTAAAATGCCCATATTATTCTTATGGAGAATAAATAAACTGTTGTAGTTTACTTGTTTCTGGATATATTTAAACCATGAAATAACAAAAAACATGGATACATATTTATATAAATATAACCATGTTTTACGCCAAAAACGGTTCATTGCTTTTTTTTTTTGCCTAAAATAGCAAGCATTTAGACCTACTTAAAATAATAAACTAGGATCCGGCATTTAAAAAATATCAATGCAGAATGAGTGTGATGATCTAAACAACTTTGTTGCTGGTCACGATTAGCTAATTTTTCTGCTTCAATGATAACTCCTTTGCTGTTATTTGGTGTGTCTAGGCCAATGTACAAATACAGCAAGGTCCTACTGATATATAGGTTATCTTTGAAAATCTAACATAATTTAATTTATTCATGAGGAGATGGAACAGTAATGTTTCCCAGTGTTGTAATATTGCTAATAGTAGGTAACTGATCTGATTTCAGTTTATGACTCTGACCTAGAGGATGACCTCAAGAGTGACACATCTGGCCATTTTAAGAAACTTCTTGTTTCACTTTGCACTGTAAGTTTGACCTAAAGACAATATTCTACTAATATTTAGTGTATGTTTGGCAAATAAAAAACCATAAACTGAATTTATGAATAAATCTTCTTATAGCCTATTTGGCTTTGTATAGTTTTGTATCAGAATTTTTAAGGGTTTAGTCCAATAAAATACACCTAACAACCTAACGAACTAAAAAGATCTATCAACAACACTGAACAATAAGTGACACAACAACAAGTTAGTTTTTTGATTATTGGCTTAGTGAATTTGTTACATGTAATACTTTGAATGAAAGTCAAGTAGGTGATTATTAATTTTTTGAAAAGTGATAGAGTTCACCTGAGGAAGTTAGAATTCAGAGAATAATTACAGTGGCGGTTCCAAGTAAGGGCTAATGCCCCCCCCCCCTTGCACCCTGAATAAATAAATTTAACTATACATTTCGTCCTTAAAACACGCAATGTTATAAAACAGACATCAATTTAGTTTTTATTAAACTAAATAAGCGATGGCGGGAGTAGTATTAAGCTCCACATAGATAAACTTTGTGGGGCAATAGCACGACGAATTAAACAATAATATTACGTTATGGAAAGTTGTACGTATCATCCAATGTTTACAGCAGTCAGCTGTTGACATGCTAGGGCAAAGGCGAGCGCAGAGCGCGACAGCAAGGACGGGGAAACAGCTGATTTCATGTTCCTAGTTGTCAAATTGTCTGCTAGCTACTAATTCTTAACAAGGCATCAGCCATCAGCGGTAGCACCAGTAGCCTATTACCATTGACTATATAAACACTAGTGTTTAATTTTATGTAGGCAAATGCTATTACTTAATTTGATATTATACACATTGTGATAGATCTATGAAATGGAGAAAAACATAAGGTTAAAAAAACGTGTCTACTTGCTTGCATCACATATAACAGGACGGGTGAAATGGGAGGTTTTTGGACAATTGGGCACAGCTTTAGACGTCAAAAATGGCTTTTAGAAACAGAAAGTCACCAAACGGCTTTTAAGAGGATATGGCTGAAGTCTAGTCTACAGTGTGTTTTGAAATTCATGAATACAATCGTCATAGTTTAATTTTTTAAATGTCTACTTGCTCATGACAAACAACAGGTGAAATGGGAGTGTATGGACAATTGGGTACTGTTTTAGGTGTTAAAAATGGCTTTAGAAAATCACCAAATGGCTTTGAAAATTCCAAATTTTCCCCGGGGGAGGACCCCAGACCCCCTGCTTTTTTGGGGGGTGCTCCCCCAAGCCCCCCGTTAGCCCCCTCCATGACAAGGTCCTACAACCGCCACTGAATAATTAATACAAAATGGTACTAGGTTTTTGTCGTAATATGGGATTTCTTCGGGGAGTAGCTAAAAACATGTGTAAGTCGTTTTGAAATCTATAAAATTTACAGAAATCTTACTTCAAAGTTTTTATAGTTTATTGATAAAAAATTCAGATACAACAAAGTTATCTTAATTATTTATTGATTTTATTGTATAACCAAGAAAACCCACAGGTTTTAAGATCTTGCTTTTCTATGTAATCAAATCTATTTAACCCATTTGCATCGCATGACGTTCGACTACCTACGTCAAGTCCGTGATGTACAGTATCACGACTGATGCACTGGTACGTCAGCCATGAAATACTATAAAACAACATAACAAATAATCTAATATTTTTTTCAGACAAGATATTTTCCAACAAATAAATTTAAAATTTTGAAATTTAATTTGGGCCTTATGGGTTGCCATGTTGGTGACGAAATAACAACAAAATATAAACAAAAAATCAAAACAAATTGAAGAAATTCCAATCACATGTTTTATTTACAGCATGGGGTGAAAATAGAGAAGTTTGCACAATACATACTTTTAGTCGGGTTTTCTTCGATCACGGGGCGAGCTCCCGTATACATATAAAATACATAATTATATATAACTAGCTGTTACCCACGGACTTCACCCTGTTTGACTTCATAAGTATTAATAAAACTATTTATTAGTTAAGTTAAGCTGAAATAAGCAAAACAGAATACAGTAATACAGTACAAACAAATAATCACAACTGATTTTAATAAGGTAATAAACTGAAAGAATAACATACAAATAAGTACAACTGAGGTATTTTTAACATTAGGCATATGGAAAGTTCCCTTTGGAAAGCAATTACAACCTTTAAGGGCAATTTATGAAAGAATGGATAGTTTTGTACAAGGTTTCTCGTCATGACAAACATTTTAAGTATATGGTTTATGGGGTTGTGACCATCGATGTATAATAACTCTACTGGATAGCGCGCTAGGTGGTGGAAAAACGGTCCGTGCCCACCAGTCGAATTGGTGGGATACCGAGGCGGACGGGCCGAATGAACCTCTCTGTTTTACACAAACATACATTCACTCAACCTGCTCTGCTACACTTATTTGTTAACATAAAAATTTCAAATTGATATATTATTTTTCTGGAAAAACCAGTGCTCATTACTATGTAGTTAGTTTTTACATTAACATATTTTTTATAATTTATTTAGGCAAAATAAAACAAATGATTGTTTTTTAACTCCATTAAAAACATGAAATATGTAGTAAGCGAGGAACTTTTTTATTTTTTGGTCAGGAAAAAAATTCCTGCGGCAAAGTTTTAGATCAAAGTATGAATTTTATTTTTTATTTGAAGCTTTTTAGCGAATTTCCCATATAGGGAATAAGCTATTACCGTAGTACTCATGGTAAGACCTGGACCCGAGACCGATTTAATTTTTCATTTTGAGGTCCCTAGAGGCCAAAAACACCATCCGTTCAAATTCATATATATATATATATATATATTTATATATATATGTGTCCGTTAGCGCGATAACTCGAGCAAAAATGATCCGATTTTGATGAAATTTGATACAAACGTGTAAACCTACGTTTATTCGAACGAGTTCGCGATCCAGCATAATCGGACCATGGGAACGGGGGTTTATGGGGGGTTTTATGGGGTAAAAATGGGTTTTTCCCATTTTTGAACCTAAAAACAAAAAATTTTGCGATTTCTTTCTAAACCGTTTTGTAGAGCTTAAAAAAAGAAATAATTTAGTATATTGAAGCGCTGTTGTATGCCTAACGGTCACGGAGAAAATTCAAAAATAGTGTAATTAAAAATTCCCATGTTATTCTTATGGAGAAAATGAAAATTGTTGTAGTTTACTTGTTTATGGGTATATATTGATAAAATTTGGCAAATTTATTTATTTCATCCTATACTATTGACGTATGGTCAAAAAACACTTTTTATCTTCCCCGTAGCAGCAAACCTAAGCACTCGTTAAATCTAATGTTATTTAAATAGGGAATAATATGTCTTATTTATGGAAATATTTTAGTAAAAATGTAATCAGACGAGTTGAAATTCGCTTAGTCTGCAGGTTTGCTGCGGCGGGGGTATTTTGATACGGAGCCTGCTTGTATCATTTTTAAGCGATTAAAAATAGGCATAAAATCGCTTGGCGCGGCATTGGCGCTAGGACCTCGGCCGGCTCAACATCAGTTTACGGGATATAGAAACTGAGTTTCTAGCATTTCATTATCATTATATTACATCAAATATGTCATTACATTACGAAAAATGGTAACTTAATTTACAGGCGTATGTTTATGCATTTTAATGCTTACCGGTAGTCTATAGTTAACGAAATTCTTTGAATCAAAGAATAAATGTTGGATTTCACAGTAGTATTTAATACCTAAGAAAATATTTTGTTATTATTTTACTTCAGTGAGAATAATGAATACATTTGAGATATTGGCATTAAATATTATACATTCATTTTATTTAGCAACATAATATTATTTCCAAACACGTTAATCACAGTATGACAAAGAAACATATTATAATATAAACAAAATATATATTCTTAAATATATATTTTGCATTACATTATTGCACAGTCTAAGCAAATGATGACATGCATGTGTGATCAAATAATTATTGTGATATACTTTGCTCTGGTTAATGTTCAAATATAAATAAATCTATCTCTTTTATATCACCACTACATTTCTTATGATATTTACTTTTGACACATAGTCTATAAAGTGTGAGCAAGTACGTAGATAATTATATCTGCTTATAAAAATCAATTATCCTCGGAATATTTCCACAACATAGCAATACACGGCGAGAGCGGGCGCGACGCTCGCCACTAGGGTGACTCATGCCTTTATCCCCACTCCTCGCGGACAGAGCGAGGTAGCGACGGACCGTTTTCCGAGACCTACTTCAACCTGAGCGCGCAATCCAGGGAGTTATTATACATCGATGGTTGTGACTTATAGTTTCTCAAAAGTTCATGGGTACTTTGGGCTTTATATATGGATTATACATTTTATTATTATTTTCAGCTATAAAATACTATAAAACATTATAAAAAAATAGTCTAATATATTTAATTTCTTTTTAACTTTTTCACTGCGCTACGAGATCCCGAGGTCTCGTATCGTACCTAGCCCGTAGTGCGGGACCCATAGTTTGGCTTCTTTCCTAAAGTTACGACATCGATATTTCGGCGTACAGTTATCGTAAAGAAATGAAACTTGTACATTTATAATGCATTTTTCTTTATGTATCAACTAGTAAATATGAAATGAACAAGATAAATAGATCTCGTAACGCACTGAAGTAATAAACTTTTACTTTATTACGATACGAGACCTCTGGGTCTCGTATCAAAAGTAGTTGTTTCACTTGTTTCAAGCACCACATGAGGCACGAATGGAGTGATTAGTAGTAACTATGGCAACCTTTGGATGAAAGAAGGAAACCCAAGAAATAATTCAAGAACAAAGAGAAAGAATAATGGCGTTTTTATGTTGTTATCTTTATGAGTTATCTAATGTTTTATAGGTTTACATAATAATTGTTTTAACTACGGGAACATAAATTATTTTTAATTATCGACGTGTTTCTCTTCTGAAACAGCACTAACGGATGCGTAATAAAGGTCATTGGTAAATGAACTAAAATATCACGATTGTGCAATGTTGTATTTTGATGTAAGAAAGCAAATCATGATATTAAATCGTATATTTATCCTGGTCCCTACTAAATCATTCAAAAATCAATGCTAAATAATTGTCAAACCGGACAAGGAATTTCCGATAAAAAACTTTGTATCATGGTTTTGCGATTGGAATTCCCTTTCCCAGCCCTTTAGGGAAGCGATGCAAGTCTAAATATAGCTTCAAGGTTACCCACCCCTTCCCCCCGCCCATTTGACTCACTGTGGCCCGCACTCGAGGTAATTGCCTAACCCCAAAATTATCACGAAAGAAATACAAAATTTAATGAAATAAATACAGTTAATTTGTACACATATTTAATTTGTATTTTATTTAGCCTGAAATCAGCCGTAACAAAACGCATTAATATAAAAAAGTGATAATAGAAAGATAAAATATATATTTTACTACGGTTACAATTTAGGAATTCGTAAATAAACAGATAACACATATTTTTCTTAATTTGTTATTGTAGGAAAAGAATAAATACAATAAATAATGAACTATTACAGCTGTGCGGTACGAGATCTCGGGGTCTCGTACAATGAAGTCACATTCACTTCCTGGGCTAGCTGAAGAGAGTCAACATTGTACTGGTTCACATAAACAAACATTCAGCGCTCTCTCTCCTTTCTTTGCGAGGTTATGATGCGCAATAGATTACTGCGCAACGTAATTTCGGGGTCTCGTATCGCACCTGGGTAATCATAGCGGACGAGACCTATAGATCTCGTAACGCACCATTGGAATAACTTAATGCAGGAAAATATACAACGCAGTGAACGTGTTAATGTTTCGGTGATACTGGTATTTTTGGTATAGTTATTTGGGCAACTAGTAGTGCTAAGTGAGCAATTGCCTCACTCGAGAGAAATCCTTACTCACGAGCCGTAGGATAGTGAGGAATGGTTTCTCGAGTGAGACAATTGCACTTTACACTCGAGTTACACATTATATTTTCCTACAGTTACCATAAAACAAATAAATTGGTAAAGAAACCTAACCTATTTTTACACAGAAGTGAACTTTTAATATGACATATAATGTGAAGTGACAAATACAACAGTACAAAGCTGACCAGCTGATTTACAGCCAGTGCTGCCAACGTATTTCGCATGCATACGACCTTATCTGCATGCTACGCGCTCACTATTTAGTGTTTTCACGTTGTAAATCTGGAGTGAGACAATGTTAACATTGTCTCACTGATGAGCGAATTGGCCACTTTGCTTTCTCAAATCAGTGAGAGAACATGTAATTTTTTTTTTTAAGAGGTTGGCTGCCTCTTTTTAACCTTGCATTTGCCCGTCCACATAGACTACAGATCTGTGCGTGGAACGTATCCAGCAAAGCAAGGGGTGAGCCGGCACAGTACAAAGGTGAACTGTACTGATAAAAGTTTGTGGCAGTGACCAGGATCCGAACCCACGACATCGATGCCTTGGGCCCGAAGTCCGCGACACTACCAACTGAGCCACCGACTCACCAAACTGTAGGAATTGTAAATAACATTGTTAGATAACTGTAGGAAAAATAAATAAGACGATGCAAATGCAGGGTGTCCACATTCTGGAAAGTCAGGGATAGTCATGGAAAGTCATGGAAAAAAATTTTGGTCATTGAAAGTCAGGGAAATAAGCAAGAAGTCATGGAAAGTCATGGAAATTTCCAATTATGGATGGATTTGAGGGGACCATTCAATGCTCTAGTCAGCCGTAACCCGGACTGTTGTAGCATTTTTCAGGATTTTTCACAAATGTTCGACAATTCAATTTATTACAGTTGTATTATTTTATGAGTTTTCGGTTTGTTTTAGTTCATTGTTGTACCTATTGTATTCCATTGTTATCTGTTATTACATATTTCAGTATTTTCTGCAAAATAACATGTCCAGGCTGTATTATTTGTGTGTGTATGTTATATTATAATTTGCGTGTAAAGTCCGTGAGTCATGGAAATCAATGGTAAATGGTCATGGATAGTCATGGAAAGTCATGGAAATTAATGACAAATTTTTTGTGGACACCCTGAAATGGGTTACACCTGTCTAAAAGTTAAATCATTGTATTATATATGTTGTATGTTTACAGGCCAACAGAGATGAAGACACAGAAGTAGACCCAGAGGCCGCTGTGGCTGATGCCCAGGCTCTTGTTGATGCTGGTACGGATCTTCAATCATACTACACTTTTCTTTAAAGAAATCCAAGTTCTATACCTACTTAATAAATTTGATGGACAGTTAAAAAAAATTAATCAACAGGTTTTTAAAGTTCACTTTGATGTTACGAAATGATTTTTTCTAATACAAGGAGGCCTGTGAGAAATGGCGTGTTTTTCTTCCTTTGGGTAATGAACATAGAGCATATAATATTCATCTGCTCTATGGTAATAAATGAACAAGACACTTGGTGGCTATTGGTAGTGATTCTTCCAAAATTTAAATTTCTCGCTCCCAATCAAAATTTACGTAATCTACTAACAATTCACTAGCTTAAGTCTGGTCTTCCAAATTCTACCACAGTTCCCAATTTTCCCAGTATGGTGATTAGCTTGACATTCTGCTAGGCTACCCATAAATTTATTTGATTTACAATTAATTAATATATTACAAATTAAAAATAGTTCTGGAAAACAATATAATTTGCTGTAAATATATTGTCAAACTGCTTTCACAGATACACCACTTTTTCAGCAAAGTTTTTGGGAATATATGTAGATAGTCAGCTAACATGGGATTCTCATATAGACTATTTAAATACCAGACTTTCTCGTGTAATATTTTTACTAGGTCGTCTGAAAAAATGCATTCCATTAAATTATGTCCGAACAGCATATTTTTCATATTTTCAATCCATTTTCAGGTATGGGCTAATTTTTTGGGGCAATTGTGCTAGGGTAGAGGAAATTCTTGTTTGGCAAAAGAAAGCAGTTAGAGTTATCTCTAATAAAGGCTCAAGAGACCACAGCAAACCACTTTTTAGAAATCTTCAAATCCCTACTATTATTAACGTTTATATTTATGACTTAATAGTTTATATCTTGGAAAATCAACATCTTTTAAAATTTAGAAACCATTCTCATGATCATAATACCAGAAATAAGAACCATACCACAATAGAATTCCATCGTTTAAGTAAAACTCTAAATAGTCACATAGTTTTATCACTTAAAGTGTACAACTTTCTTGAATCCATAATTAAATTACACAATATAAAGGATTTCAAAAGTAAATTTTATTGTTGGCTGACCAATAACCCATTTTATAGTTTGGAAGATTTTTTTAAGAATAAGATTCTTCAGTTGTAATTATTCATTTAGAATATGTATTATAATATGTCTCCCTTTGTTAAGTTAGCTATAAGTATTTTATTAATTAATTACCTGACTATGCTATAATTTTAGCTGTATCTTGACGTTGTCGATGATTTGTACAAATTCAAAAGACAATAAAGCATATTTCATTTCATTTCATTTCATTTCATTTCATTTCATTTCATTTCATTATTTCATTTCATTTCACCCATAATTAATTGATAAAAATAGACGGATCTTTGTATGTATGTAGCGAAGATAACATTGCATTTTTCCATGTTCACACATATTTTTTACTATGTAGTTTTGATCATCTCGTACAATTGTAGAAAAATCTGTGACCATATTCTGCGATCTCGGCGTCATAGCTGGTCGTCTCTCGCTATCGCGTCAACGCCAGTAATCGGCTTTTTCAGCCACTTTTCGGATGACCGGGCTCGACTGTTGACGACATTACTGATACCAATATCTGATTTTGATCAGGATCAGTTACTAATACTGACCTTAAAAAGTGTGTTGGCACAAAGCTTAAGTTAATTTGTTATCAACTTTACATTACAATTAAATACACAAAGTCTGCAATGAAACCCTTCAATAAATATTAAATGTTACTGAATTATGAGTGGCGGGAGGCAGTGTTGGCTTTACAAGTAGGACGTAGTCTAGGACCGCTGCGGTATTGTACAAAAACACCGCGATCACTTGTTACGATGATGATGACCCCTTGATCACGGGATATGTTCAGGATTTCTCTGTGACCGCGGGTGAAGATGATGTGTCTCCTCGATTGCTAGAGATATTCACGATTTAGCCGCGATCGCGGGAAAGTTCCACCTAAAGGGCAGTCAACATGGGCTAATTTGGCATTGGTCTGCAAGTACTCTAAATACAGCACTTGTGGGAAGGGGGGGGGAGCAAGTAGCCTACAACCCTAAAGTCCAGGCAATGGCCCCGAGAGTCTGGCTGGACCAGCCCCAGCCTGTGGGCAAATTGAACATTTTTATAGGGTTGAATATTCGTCTCCTAGGCATAGCAAATAATGCAATACTCTTGTACCTTTTAAAGACTACTTCATGGCTAAAAAATTTACATTCAAGAAAAACATCATCTTTTGAAAATAAAAATAATATGTATCTTTGTTTAGGACAATTATAACATTACTACCATTGTATTTTGCAATATTTAAACATATCAATTGTTGATCTATAGGCCTACCATAAAGAGTAGTTTACCTACAGTAGGTTTACCTCATTAAGTCTAAAAATATACCATATAAAATTAATTTAAATCAACTCTTTTGTTTCCTTCTCCTATATAAAATCTGATTGTGGTAAACAAATCAACTGCAGTTAAATTATAATACACATTTTAAAAACCCCTATAAAAAGTTGGTCAGCAACACTGGACCTTTGAAAGTGACCTCTAGGAATAAGCCAAAGGCTAGGAGGCCCTAACAGAAATTATAATTTCTTTCTCTGCTAGATCATAATATTTAAAATTACACCTCAATCATAAATTTTTTTTAAGTAAGGTGGGTTAAAAAGGGATGTCACAGTCAAATCCTTATTGTATGAAGTATAAAGAAGATTCCAGCTTTCTTTAATTTGTATGATAATATTGGTTACCATTTTAATTACCTTTCAAAGATTGTTCATTACAAAAGGTAGAAATGTTAAAAAATTATCTGTTAAACAAATCTTAAAGTGGTCTCTGACAAAATGTTTAGGTGAGGGCCAGTGGGGTACTGATGAGTCAGTGTTCAACTCTGTGCTGGTGCAGCGCTCGTATCCGCAGCTGCGCAGGATATTCCAGGAGTACCAGACACTCACAGGAACTCCGATAGAGGAGGCGGTGGAGAAGGAGGCTGAGGGCAGTCTGGAGGCTGGCTATCTGACCATTGGTAATTGTGAAAACATACACAGTAGACTTAGCTCAGGTAACCTTATAGGTACATCTGCAGTGCCATCTCATGTAACACAACTCATGTGTGGATAATAATATGCTATCTTGGCTTACAATAATAATAGAATAGATTGTTGAAGATATTCGTTTAGCGTAATTTAACCCTCTGAGTGGCCAATGGTCGGTTGATGGGTGAGCCTTAAAGTGGCCAACGACCGATTCCCTCGGTTCGGGTCCAAAAATTTTGTAACGCTGATTAAACATTTATGATGGAGCCTAAACTTTATACTAATACTAATACCTATACCCACCAATCGAAAGATAAGATTCTAAAGTTTCATTTTGTAACACCAACAACCCCAGTAGTATAAGTACAAAAATATTATGGCAGTTAGAGTAAATAATATTTATAGCTGTTAGTCAATCCAGCTGACGACGATCCCAAAACGTCAAAACTGAGTTTTTTCAAGTTATTGAAAAGTTGGGTAAATTTCATTTTAGCGAGTTGAGATTGGTATCAATGTAAGCAGAAAGAAATATTAAATAAAAATATAATAATAATACAATTGACATATTAATGTAATCCTGTAGATTTTTTTGAAAACCACCGTATTTCGGAAAATTGGGTTAAGGCCGACCAACCGAGCAGAGATAGGTTGTTGCCACAGATTTTAGATTGATATGCTTCACCCATCTATTCCACTTCAGCTAGGCCATTTAAAAAGAGAGGCTCAAACAAATAAGTAGAGACCTAACTGTGTAAATGTTTTTTAGTCAAAAGTGTGCAGAACAAAACCAAGTTCTTTGCTGAGCAGCTTGAAGATGCCATGGCTGGTTTTGGTACCAAGGACAGGAAACTGGTCCGAATTATTGTTGGAAGATCTGAGATCGATCTAGGAGACATCAAGGAGGAATACTTCAAACTGTATGAGAAGCCTCTAGAGGAGAGAATTGCTGTAAGTTATAAATACATCTTCTACATACACACTCTTTGCTGTGCCTAGCTTCCAGCACAAAGATGCTTTCAGTGGTAGACGGCTGTTACGCTAACTAAATATTTGTCTTGATGCTTTTAAACATTTATTTTACTTTTAGTATTCCTGTTCAAAAGATTTTTTTTGATAATGACTCCATTATGTTAAACCTGCACATGTTTCATCATTATTTTCCAACTGATGTTACTAGTCAGAAAATACCATATTTATATGAGTATCATGATAGAAAGTTGTGAATTGATTAACCCAGTAAGTAGAGTAATACGTTTTCCCCTGAATTTTGACATGCATTGTCAATGATGCTTGATACATTATTATGCTTTAAACCAGTGTGTGGTAGAACCAGCTGCACCCCGTTATAGTTGTTATAAGTATTTTTGGCCAAAGTAGTATTCCTTGTTGATCGCCTTCATTTGTTTTTTTGTTTTCCCAATCAACCGAGAAGATTGGTTACATTCATTTAAGTTTTTTTGAGATTGAACTAGTGAAGACACATTTTCAAGAAAGAAGACATTCAGAACATGGTAAGTGTTTTGGTAGTTATGGGAATGGGAAGAAAGTTTGGTTATTTATTAGTAAATTCATTTCCAGCTTTAAAGTTTTTAACAATAAAAAAAATATTAAGTCACTGTATTCCTAAGCACCATTGAGTGTAAGATATCTGAATCCCAGTTCGTAGTAAAGTTGCTTTAACAGCATAAAACGTTTTAGCATAAAACGTTTAACAGCAGTCAGCACATTTTAGCATAATACAATCTTCCAAATAACAATGAGTTTATAATTTTAACTGTGTTAAATGTGCTGACTGCTGAAGTAAACATCTCTCATAATAAGTAGTGTACGTCTGTGAATCTTAAACTTTGACTGCAGGAGCTAGCCCAAGTAGCAAAAATCGTTGGCAAATGGTTGGCCCTACGTTTCTGTCGATGGTTGGCCACTAAGTCTTACGGTTGACCAACCAACAAATTTTTAACAAAGGGCCAACCATCCCATTGGGCCTAAACATAAAAAACACAAAATAATAAAGATTTAGTATGAAAAGCATAATTATTAGTTGAGTAAATTGATTAAATAGTTCATAAAAACTAATTTTGAAAAAAAACCAAATTTTATTTGCCCAGACGGTACCTTTGTCTTATTAGCCTCATACCTTACCTCTGAGCTATCTGTAATTGATGATTATGAGAGTTGAAGTGATGAAGAGATGAAGTGGTCAAAGAGTAGCCGACAGTTGCAAAGGTCACAATAGCCTACTTAAAATATTTTTTATACCCACAGTATATAATATGATTTTGTTAATCTAAGTAGTTGAATTGTTTTTCTGGTAGTTGGAGAGGATACTGGTATTTGAATATAGATTATTTAATTACCATTTAGTACTTTTATAATTGATTGTTATATGATTGATTAATCTTTTCCCTTAAACTATTAAAAATTTGCTCAAATAAGTTAAAGAATATTATAAAAAATTAAAATATTGCATCATTATGATTATTATTATATGTTAAGCAGGTGTTCCCCACTGTAACTAGTATCACAACATCATCTGACTACATTTATTATAGAACCAATTTTCTCAAATATTGTCTTATATTCTGCTGCCATAACATTTATGTTCTTTTAAATAAATCAATTTGTTAAAATGTGTTTTAGAATGTTTTATACTTAAACCCAAGGAAGGCCAAACGATTCTTTCCTTTGTAGGGCCAACGAATACAAGTTTCTGTTGTTGGGCCAACATTGGCAAATCGTTAAAATTTCCGCCAACCATTTCCCAACCCTACCGACCATTTCCCAGCGTTGGGCCAATGATGTGTGCTACTTGGGAGAGGTCATACATCAAACAAATATTTAAACTACAGTCAACTTTGAGCAACAAGCAACATACATAAAACAAGGCAATCCCACCAGTTACTTAATATATGACCATGATGCATTATTGGTTTCTTTTAGGCTGAATTTTACACAACAACTGTACTTAATAAATTATATACTTAATGGAAAAATTATACAAAAAAGTACCATACAATAAACAAAAGAATATCACACAAAATAAAATATAACCTCTGTGCATTATGACTGATTTTCATGACCATTTCCAGCCATCTCACAACCAGTTCCCATATAGTAACTTATTGACCTATAAGACCTATAACTAGTATATACTATACATTAGTAGTCATGGTGGAAGGAAAAACACATTGGTGTGCTATTCCCGTCATATGCTGACGTCACCCAGATTGCAAACACTATTTCACCATTTAGAAAGATTATAAAAACAATATCAAAAAAATAAAAACAAATGTATACTTATATGGCAATAAAATCAGGTGAATCTTTGTTTGCAATCTGGGTGACGTCAGCATATGACAGGAATAGCACACCTATGTTTTTTCTTTCCACCATGATTAGTAGGAGTCTAAGGTAGGCCTACGTAATATTAAAAAGTTTAAATTCCATGTTGCGTCAATTGATCCTGTTATTTAAATAACGACAGCTGTTCAGGTTAAACGTTAAACACTAATGTCATTGATGTATGAGACTAATGTTATGATTTTCTACACCGACCTACATAGTAATTTAGAAATCATGCATCTGTGGAGTGAAGGCAGACAAATGGATGCCATAGAAAAATTCAAGATATAAAGCATCAAAACTACACCCTGACTATAAATGAACAGCTGTCCTTCAGATCCAATATAATTTACAATACTACTATAGGTCGGCCGCTTAGAAAACGACCTCCTCCAGCATTGGTTTAGCATTAGCGCGCAGGTCGTTTTCTAAGCGGCCGAACTATATCCACATTCTCAACCAGAAAAAACAAATCAGAGTCAAGATAAGGAGGGTGGAGGGGCAACCTCCGACACAGGTCAGTCATGACTAATCATCAACCGGTAATGCACCTCGTGTTCAGGGTCGATTTACCGAATAGGCACCGTAGTCACGTGCGTAGGGAGCAAGGCAAATGGCTTTTTTGGGGGGCGCCAAATATTGGGAAAAAAATGGTATTTGTATGCGAACACGGTAACCCTCTTATAATCCCTTGCGGCCGTGTAGACATCGTAATCGTCTCCCGCGATTGGGGCAAAATTCTGACTATTTTCCGCGGTTGTGAGGACATAATTATCATCTTCCATGAATACGGCAATATATGAACATATCCCGCGGTCGTGAGGAGATTATTGTGTACTGCAAATGAGGCAAAATTCAGATTTTTTACTGCGATCGTGTTGACATTATGATCATCATGCGCGAGCACGGTCAAATTCTCATCACCACTTGCGCCGTGAAGACATCATTATATTGTCCCCTGCGGTCGTCTGGACATTGTAATCGGCTCCCGCCACAAAATGGTTATAATCTCCGTCAGCCATGTGGAGATCATCGTCTTCCACGAATGAGAATAAATTCTGATCATCCCCGCCGTGTAGAAATCATTATTGTATCTACCGCAGTCCTATGGAAAAATTCTTGCTGTTTCCCGCGGTTGTGTGCACATTACCATGGTCTTTCCTGATCGCGGCAATATTCTGATCATCCCTTGCGGCTCTGTAGATATCATCATCGTCTTCTGCGATCGTGGAAAATTCTTACCATCCCTCGAGGCCGTGTGTAGACGTATTATCGTCTCCTACGGTCACGGAAATGTCATTGTTGTCATGCACGATCGCGGTAAGTTGAAAATTCCAGGCAGAAATACAAAATTCCCGGTTCAAAAAAACTTACGCATAATTCCCGGCTTTGCCGGTTGGTTTGACACCCCGTAGTATATATTCCAAAGGGGCGCTACTATTAGTTTTGCCTAGGGCGCCGACAGGGTCAAAAACGGCCTGCTTGTGTTTGGACTACTTGGCCAAGTTTATTTATAGAGATTACACTAAGGCCGGTGACACACTATGCGGTTTAGCAGGATGCAGTTTAGCGGGATGCGTTTTTACCGCATTGACATTTCCATGTCACACTTGTCACGTTCTACTGCAACATATTTCGAGTGAAGAGCGCGAGCATCACATGCAGTGCACTGTTGATAGCGACAACATTATCCTCGCACGTTTTTAAATTCTTATAGAATGTCTATCGCATCTCTTGATGAGCTGCTGGGTGTTTTGAGGCCACATTTAACAAAGATCAGTATACAATTCAGGATTTCAATCAGTGCTGAAGAAAGATTAACAATAACTCTAGCATCTTACACCTTTAATTCAATCTCCAACCAGTCGCTGAACATCTATTCTCCAACTAAATTCCAACATTTCTCATGCTCAGTCCTATCAGAATACTCTTGAAGGTGTTTATTCCACAGTGCAGATAGATCGTGGACACATTCGATAAACTTGTCCGTGCCGAACATGCTAAACGCGCGCGGCAAAACAGGACAGTGTGACAGCTCTCATTTAACTGCATGTATTTATCTTTTCATCCCGTCGTCCCACCACGCCGCAGCACCTTGCAGTGGATCCCGTCGACGCGCCGCAACCGCATCAATGTGACAGCTCCCATGAGTTTGAATCATCCCGCCAAATGAGATAGTGTGTCACCGGCCTAATGCTGACAACCTCATACATCAATGAGAATAGTGTTTTAACGTTTAACCTGAAGATGTGCTCTTAGCAGCCTAAAACAGCTGTCGTTATTTATGCAACAGGTATTCTAAACATTTTTAATATTGCTATTGCTATATCTTGATCCAGAGGCTAACCCATCATGAGGCCTACGTAAATATTGAATTTTTAAGCTGTTTATTTAAGCCTATTAGTTTAAATTCTCTTATACCAAGATTATATGTCAGTATAAATAATTGCGCTCATACACACCACAGTATATATGCACACTATGGAGATCAACCATGTTGTTTGTATTTCTATAAGCTCTATAAAAACATGAAAATTATTAAAAATCTATTACCAAAGTGTAGATCATGTCTTTCACTCATTATTGCTATGTTTTTAAATTTCTAT